CTGAATAATCTCACCCTGAAAATGCAGGAAATCGTATTTCAGGGACTCTAGATTTCAAAAATTTTCCGGGGGGGGCCTACCCCCGGACCCCCCTAGAAGTGTTTCGCGCCTTCAACCCTCGAAAATCCCCCCCCCCCCACTTTTAAAAGGCTGGCACTCTGCTCTTATAGATTTTGGTGATATATAACACCAGGTCAGGTTGACAAATGAGATCAGTTCTTAAAAATTCTTAACTTCTTCACTGTAGTTGAAATAGACAGCATATGGAGCAAATAGAGCTGTACACAAGGGTCACTTTAGCCTGAGGTAAAAATTGCTGATCATTTATTCAGGTTTTTAATGTACTATCATTATACAGAACAGTAAACACTTAATATATACATTGTACAATACAGTATACACTTAATTAATATAGTTGTTATTCATCGGCCAATGACTTTTTAAAATAGGTCAATTGATGGTTACAGGGCAGGTCACTTTTGAATATGCCCTGAAGTTCATTTCTAATTTGGACTATTGGGTATGCAACTTGCAAAATTAACTTCGCAAGTTACTATAAAAGTACAGAACTAAAGTACTAAGGTACTGAGAACATAAACTTGTAATTTTCAGTGTTTAACTGATATGACCAACAATTTGATGAATTATTTATTAAAGCTTTTTGTTGACTACACCAGTAAACCACAGTAAATTATGAGTCTATGATCAGTACTTCAGTCCAGTACTTTAGTAATTTGCTAAGTTGGTTTTCCAAATTCCATGCCCAATATTCCAAAATTACCTGATATCGACACAAACATTGTATATAAATGTAACATTATTGTTTTTCAGTTGTTTTCATTAAATATATATAAGAGTTCTCTGTACAGATTGAGGGCAGCTATCCAGTTGTAACCTCTTTCTAAGTTTGTGTTTGTTAGTATGTATTCAAAGTACTGTTGGTAATCATTTGGGACCTCTTCAAATTACAACACATTTTCTGCGACAAATTCTACCTCTTCTGTTGAAACAGGATGGAGTTTATTTTCTCCACAACTTTCCGGAAGCACACAAAGTTCATTGGGTTTGCCAGCAATTATGTCATAAGAAGAATCCCGAATTGTATGTGTGTTTCAATGTTCTCTCACAAAATCCAGGTCTTGCTGGATTAAACCAGAGAAGCAGAACCATAAACATTCCATTTCAACTTCATTCCCAGGAGAAAATTCTCCTGTCTCCACAAGATTCTTGAATAAATTGATCCACTAGGTAGAGCGATTCCTATGCAATAAGACCACCAGCCTTCGATTTTTTTGATTAGCTGTAGATTTCCCATATGAGTGAGCATTGACATCATCTCTAAATAGACATTGCATTGTTGCAATAGGTGCCATTTTCAGTCCCATTATCTGTCCTCATTTTTTCAGGGCAACCCATCTGCTGAGCAACACATTCCAGATAAAATGAAGCTGGAATCTCTGGAAGGTTGTTTGACCTGCACACCTTCAGTCACATAATCTTTCTGCACGCTGCGTTACAAGTTCTTCATCATAAAATGCATTACGGCGTTTTAGATTGTATTCATTGAGGCGGTTTTTTAGAGTTTGAATTGACATTGTTACATTGTGCTCTTTTTCTAACAGCTCCACTATCCATGAATACTTGTGGCCTTTTCTGAAATATGCTGCAATGACCGCCCTTCCATCATAGTTTTGACGTTCATTGTTGCCTCCTTCCTCTGCCCCACATTGTGGATAGTAGTTATAACTGAATTTCAACAAAGAACTGCAATGAGAACATTCCTTGGGGAATCTTGGCACGCCAACGTCCACTATGTTGTTGATCATGAACTAGCCTGCAAACCAGGTGGTCTCGTATGCGTGCAGTGCAGGTTTGCTAATAAATTTGTGTTGGCTAATAAATTTGTGTTGGTTAATAAATTTGTGTTGGCCAATAAATTTGTGTTGGCCAATAAATTTGTGTGCGTGTAATATGGTGTGGAGATTTGCTAATAAAGTGTGTTTTGACATATATTTGTGTGTTTTGACATATATTTGTGTTGCCCTTGTCGGCCACTGTAGCTTTGACATGCAATGCTTCAATGTACAGTAAAACCTCTATAATTTGTATTACATGAAGTATGTGTAACATCACAATAGCATTGCATCATTAAACGCGTAAAAATTGAGAAAATCAACAACTTGTTGCAAGTTGATATCGAAAGGCGTGAACAAGGTTGTGCGGCCTACTATGAACAGTATTGTCAACATGTTGTTACAACATTGTTCAACTGTAACAACTTGGAACAACATGGTTGACAACTTGTTCATAGTTGGCCGCACAACATTGTTCACACCTGTCTATATCAACCTGTGCATTTTTAGCCGTGTATGTGACGAAAAAATTTGTACATAAACATCATAATTCATTAAAAAACTACTAACTCACTATGGTAAGAGATAACTTTAATACTTCTACATTGTTTTTTGTTCTCTTATCACTTTAAAATGAGTTAATTTTGTGAAAATTCTGAGGAAAATTCGTAACTCAATTTGATCAAAACTATGCGGGATGATGGCTCCCGGCGTTACGTCACAAAATGATTCGCTCGGCAATTTCAGCCTGCCAATCTGAGAGTTTTTTGAAATTTAAAAAATTTTCAGCAAATCAGAGAGCTTTATTTTGTGACGTAATGCCGGGAGCAGTCATCCCGCATAGTTTTGACCAAATTGAGCCACTTTCCTCCGGATTTTTGCAAAATTAACTCGTTTTAAAGTGATAAGAGAACAAAAAACACAATGTAGAAGTATTAAAGTTATCTCTTACCATAGTGAGTTAGTTTTTTTAATGAATTACAATGTTTATGTACAATTTTTTCATCACATACACACATAAAAACGCTCAGGCTGATGCAATACCATGCAGTCATCCCACATAGTTTTGACCAAATTGAGCCATTTTCCTCGGAATTTTCACAAAATTAACTTGTTTTAAAGTGATAAGAGAACAAAAAAACACAATGTAGAAGTATTAAAGTTATCTCTTACCATAGTGAGTTAGTTTTTTTTAATGAATTACGATGTTTATGTACAATTTTTTCGTCACATACACACATAAAAACGCTCAGGTTGATGCAATACTGATGAAAACAGGATTGAACAATGTTTTGCTGCCCACATTGTTCATAGCTGTCAACAATATTGACCAACATTGTTACACCCGATTCAGGTTCAACAATATTGTTCAATATTGTTGACAAGTGTGAACAACGTGGGCAGCAAAACATTGTTCAGTCCTGTTGAGCAACAGGCCCGGCATTTTTTGCTGTGTAATGACGCAACACTATTGTGATGTTACACGTACTTCATGTAATACAAATTATAGAGGTTTTACTGTACATTGAAGCATTGCATGTCAAAGCATTGCATTTTAAAGCAAATTGTATGGATTTTTTAAAAATAAAAGACCTTTTCGGGAGACCTATGCTCAGATGGGCAATGGCTGGGACTTTTTCGCGTCAGTACAGGATGGCGTAAGCATACAGCATGTGTTTCGGTTGATGAATTTCGTACTTGTAGTCAAATCTAAAGCTCCCTAATACAAGCAATAATACCATTGACAATGACCTCACTTTTAGTGATGACTTTGTATATATTGTTTGCATTCCAAATATATATCACTTCCAAAATTATGACTTTGTCATAGTGGATCTATGACGTTCTTCATGTTGGTAAACAGTTTATTGAGATGTCAAACTCATGGAGCCTCCTCTCAATAGTCATTTTGCCAACATTCAACAATGATGAAATCTGAGGAACATTAAACCCTGAGGAAACCAAGAACAACAATTGGTCTTTAGTGATTTTATATGCAGGTTGTCCAGGCAAACCGGTTTTCACTGTTGGAGCAAAATAGCTGTCATTTACCCCATTATCAAGTGATTCCAGAACACCAGGACACTTGTTAACCAATTCATTAACTGCTGGTGGTACATTTATAATACTTGAACAATAAACCAAAACCTGGTTGAGATGATCAAGCCTGAAAGTAAGACAGTCATAGTCTGGTGGTTGTTCTGCATCATTCTCCAAAACTACTTCAATTTTCCTGATAGAGTTTATCAAATGAGTAATGATTATTCCCCTAGCATCCTGCATCTTCCTCTCCTAGTAAAGGCAATGTATCTGTCATATCTAACTATGCCCATGGCATAGCAAACTATGCCTGTGGCATAGGATGTAGGGAAAGGTCCTCCCCAGTATTAAAGTAAACAGGAGGGCAGATATTAAGTCCTGCCCCCCTCACCCAATAAAAAAATCTTCAAATTTACCATGAACAGTCAGCTATAGCCACTTATTATAAAACAATATAAATATACTTATGTATTATTTGCATTTCAAGTAAAGAATGTTCGTGAATTTTAAAATTTATAGGGTAATGCAGACTTTTACTTTCCCCCCAAAGCAAAAAGGACAACTGAGTAGGGTCGGGCGGTTCAGGGTAAAAACCGAAAACCGTCTGAAAAAAAAGGAAATGTTTTTAATGTGAATTTCCTTATGAAAATTTAAAGGAAATTTCATAATATGGTGGAAACACTGGGTAAAAAAATATGGCGGCCATTTCGGTTGTGAATATAAAATAATACGAATATTTCGGTCTTATTTTCGCTTTTACACACATCTGAAATAAGCCAGGGTACAGAACTATATGAATACGAATTCAAGTATTTTCCCAATTTTTTTCCGTTTTTTTTTGTCAAAAGGAAAATTGATTGAATCGGTTTTTTTAAGAAAATCTTTTTTGTTTGTTTTTATTCTGTTACAAAGAAAGATTTTACAGCAAGTTTTAAAAGCAAGAAAAGAAGAGGTTTCTGAATCAACTACAACGAAAATTTGGCATGAAAGGAAAGCGAATATATTGACGTTTTGGGGCCAAGTTTTTTTGTGAACCATGCGCGAGATTTTCAGCCAAAAAGAGGAGGATTTCTCCAAACTTTATTAAAAATAGAAGTCGGAAATCACAAGAAAGATGAACACGGAACACAAGTGAGCAGATACGATTTTTTAAAGGGTATTTTTGAGTAGAAATATGCGATCAAACACTCACAAAATTCGACTCCATTAATGTTGGTTGAATCTAGTTTAAAGTTATCTTTTTAGACAAACTGTTTATGCAAATTTGGGCACAATTTCGACTGTTTTCGTAACCCCATTGTTGGTCTTCTTGTTCAAGTTGTTATTTTAGCTAAAGTATGTTTCAAACGACACCAGATTAAATTACTGTGTGCGTACGTGCCCTATTTGGCAAGAATACTTCGAGTATTAAATTACACTAAGTAAGTGGGGTACTCCAAAATCACTGTTATATCTATTTTCATCAATTTAGTCTTAAAATGACAACTTGTTTCAGACATATTGTGGTTTGAAATAAGTGTATTGAATTAATGCGCTTGCTTGCCGCGTGCGAATTCTCAGAAAGTCCGCACTTGAGTTCTAAAGCTTTTAAAATGCTTTTTGTATTGGGTTTTATATCCCCATAAAACTTTAAATCGATAAGGCAGATAGTAATGTTGATCCAACCTCATTTTCTAGTAACTACATGTTGAATCAGAAGGAAAAGTTATCAAAATTTGGTCGCGACGGTTGTTTGCTGTTGTTGTCGCTTCTCTCTGAAATGGCTTCCTTTGCGGGAAGCCATGAAACTGAAGTCCCAACAAAAACATAATTTAGCCATCCTTTCGGGCCCATTGCTCGCTTATTTATCATGAAATCGTTTCACTAGAACATTTTTAATAATGTCTATGGGAAACTTTGTAATTTTCTGAACTAAAAGTTTATGGTTTTGAGGTGTTTATTTTATAAAATAGCAAGCACGCGCGACAAAATGGCACTAATGTGGTTTCTCATGTCTGACAAACAACCAAAGATGAAAGTCCTTATTTCACCCTTTTATAGCTATGTTGAATACCTGACTATTAGGTTATCTTTTTCATTTGAGCATACAGATAACATTTCTACACAATTAGTCCTAATGAAAGCTTATTTCAAACTAAAAAAAAGCGATTGTTTTTCAGAGCCAGACTTCAAAAGAGAACGCGTGTCTGACATTTTATAGCAGCCTACATTGGCGCGCAAAATAATTTTGGCTAAAAACCGTTTCTTTCCAAACAGAAACATGAGAAAATTGAGCTAAAAGGCTTACCTGATGTATGTTTAAAATGTTTTCCTCTTTATGGTGTTTTTCAGTGCTTTGAGTAGAGAAGTGAATAACTTTTGGTTTTGTCACGGGCAATTTGCCTTTGAAAATGTCGGCTGTCATTGTCTGTGTTAAAAACACCTCAGAAAATTCCTATTTTCTCACCTTCCCATCCTTGGTTTATATTGAAAACAAATATATTCTAGTACCGTATGTCCTTTTAAATATATTTGAGGTAATTAAAAACTCCAAAGATGTACAAGCACTGTGTTTTGGCTTGCACACTTTGTTCAATTTTAACACTTAGTTACTGTTCTAAATTTCATGTTGTAAACATCTTGCCCAAAAAAGCAAAGGAGTATTTTTTATAATTTTTGATCACTTTCTAATTCATATCCCAATAGATGAAAACTGGTTATAATATAGATATGTACTAATTTAGTAAATAATTTTTTTTTTGTTTTTATATAAATATATGGAGATATTGCCCCTTTAGGTGATGAGTGACATGAAAAAAATAGTGTCACTGGTTTACAAATAAAAATTCTCATTGAAAAAACTAATTATATATATAGGTATGCAAGTTCATTTAAACTAAATTTGGTCAATCATATATTAATAATATTTGGTTGAAAAGACCAGATTTTTTCATGCAACTGTTTCTGAGATATTGCCATTTTGGTGAAAGCTCTTGAATTCAGTCACATATTCGCCATATTGCTTGCACGTTAGGGGGGTAGAAACATTGTAACAGCTTGCGCGTTAATGAGTTAAGATAGATATTGTGGTAGCTGCAGTCGTTTGTTGCCATACATACATACATATTTTAATACGGTAATATGGACAAGTATAAAAGTGGATTTCATTTAGATTATATGAAATCAATATATTAAAAAAACGTTGACAAAATATATGTAAATTTCAATCAACTCAGCGACTCGAATTCACACTATCGCTTATATGCACCAGGCAAACATACGTTACATAATAGCACAATTCATATTGTGTTAGTTAGAAAACAATGAGATAATACTTACTTTGTAGTTGGTATTCCAAGGCCAAGTTCTTTAGCGCAAGAATATGCCCCCTTGAACAAATAACACGATGCATCTATACCAAGGCATTTTCCGTGAAATTCTTCAATAGAACAGTCTTTTGTGATAGATTTTAAAAAATCATGAAGACCCTTAATACCCATCTTTGAAGACTATCATCAAATTCTTAAAAATACTCTTTATTTTGCAATTTTAATTCGCAAATAAAATGGCAGCAACAATTAAGGCATCAGGAGCTCTTGTCCGCCCAACGTGCAAATGCAAATGACCCGAAATACGCAAATAAATGCAATGTTTCCCACCATCCTTTTCAGACCATGTCCAACCTCCTCTGATTCGACCCGAAATTTTTATAAAATTAGCATCTCAATAACTTGTTTTTGTCATTAAGCAAATTCCAGGATAATTTAGTCATGCCATTAGTTATCATTTTTTCAATTAAACTGTTGACTAAATTTCCATGCACATTCAACTGCAAATTGTTTCATGAAAATCAATGTTAATTTAAAGCACAAGTACATAGCTTAGGACAATAAAACTTATGATTTAATGTTGGGAAGACAGACACAATATGTAATTTTTGTATGTGAACTTATAGCTTTTGCAAATGCAGACAGAAAAAGGTTTTAAGATTCTTAGAATTATTAGAGATTGCATTTTCTAATTTGAGGAGATTATTAAAAATTATTCTTTTTGTGAATTTTAGGGGGTTCAATTATGTGGGAGCCAAATCCTCTAGCAGATATGGACCGGGGGAATCCATATCAGTGGGGAGTCCATATCCACCATGACACCAGGCCAGGAAAGCTGTAGTTTTTTTGTAGCATTTTACATCCTTCATTTCTAGATGAACAAAAATGCTGCCAAATGTTTAGACCATATGTAGTTTTCTTAGTAGTATTTTCCAGGTGTTGCTGCTTGATAAATGAGTCAATTTCAGCCATGTCAGTCAAATTTAGTTGCCGGTTGTTTAAGGCACACTAAAACTGCTTGGTACATAATTTTCTTTGTTATCATCATTTAAATCTTCTGGGTAATAACACCCACCTTCGCTTCTACTATCATCGTAAAACTTCTCCATAATTTGCTTATTTACATTATTTCAAATATGAAAAGACAAAGTTTTTGGGATTTTGTTTACATTTTTCAGAGCGGGCAGTTGCATTTCACAGCAGGCAGTTGCGTGTCAGATCGGGCTGGATGCAAAAAACCGGCCCACTCTGAAAGTGTTGAGTTGCCGGGGGGGGGGGGGACCCTACAACCCAAACAAGAACAAAAAGCGAATAGTGGTCATGAAAACACAGATTGTGGGGTTTGCATTGTTTGTTTTAAATATCCCTTAAATAATACTTAAAAGTGGAGGCATTGTCTATGTAAGATACTTTTTTTTATTTGTTCCAGCTTCATTCTGCCCAATGGACAATACAACTAGTTAGGATTTTGTTGAATTTATTCTGAGCAAGATGTAAAACTGAATGGACTCAAGTCATTTATGGCATAAATCAACAAGTTAAGTTGCTTTTACTATCATCATAAGACTCCTCCATAATTTACATTATTTCACATATGAAAAGATGACGTTTTTTGTGATTTTGTTTACATTTGTCGGAGTGGGCAGTTGTGTTTCAGATCATGCTGGATGCAAAAAAACCGGCCCACTCTGAAAGGCTCCTGAGCCAATCAGATTGCTTCATTCTGACTGATAAAAGGCCGATATAATTTAGGTTCAAAACCTACAACTTCAACATTTGACATCTCAAGTTGCCGGGGGGAAAACCCTACAACCCAAACAAGGACAAAGAGCGAATAGTGGTCATGAAAACACAGATTGTGGGGTTTGCGTTGTTTGTTTTAAAAAGAAGTGTAGAGAGTTCACCATATTTTGGTTCAGTAAATATCATCTGACTCTTCCACAGTCCCTCATCCGTACACGGTGCATGCAGTTGTTATTCATTTGAGGGACAGTGAAATTGTGACTCGAAAACTTGCAAATGTGCTCAAAAACTTGCAAATGTGCTCAAAAACTTGCAAATGTGAATATGGAAGAAATCGAGAATGTTTTGGACAGTGGTCATCCTTTTGATGTACATGGAACTTTTTTGTCCGAATCGTTGAGGAATTAGAGATATCAATTGAAAAATGTCTTTGCCTCTTTGAGAATAAAATATAATATAGGTGAGATTTTGACAAGGTTTTCATGTTTTATATTGTACCCATAAAACTCTGTAAATGCTGGGTAATGACTATGGACCCCAGAGAGGCTCAAGGGACCAATCATGTCAATTTTTGGGTGATTTTTCTGCGAAAGCTTGGTTTGCCTGATAAGAGGCTATGTGTATTGCAGGCCTTTTTTAAGGTACTGTCACTGTTTTAATCGCTCAAACCGATGCTGAGTAAGTGCAAATTTTGCTTTGAATTAATGAAATCAACTCAGTATGGTGTTAAGCCTCTATAACTGAAAGCAACAGACCCTTCCAAGGTTGACAATGTTATAATGAAACACAATAGTGCAAGGGGTGCAAACACACTGGAATTCCCCACAGGTAAATTTGGAAAATTTGCAAGGGGTGCAAACACAATGGTGACAGCAATATATTCAAGATGGCATACATTGGAACCCCATTATTGGTGAACTAATCTCTGTGTGGTAATTCCAGCCATGTAATCTATTGTGTGTAATAGTTTGTGTTAACTAATTTTGTGTAATAGTTTGTGTTAAATGGCAAAATCTGTAAAATAAAATTAATTTAACAATATTTTACCTGAGATTCGACAGGAATTATTTTAATCAACGTATGTCTTTAGTTTGCCAGATTGCAAGAGAAACATAACGTTTCCTCGCCATACATATGCTTCATGGTGCTTGTATAAGAATATTTATTTATTTATTTATTTATTAACTTTACAACCATACATACAATAGATTAAACCCTACATAAAATGGTTGAAGGTATGGTCAACAGGACATGAATAGCCCCATGTGAAGACCAACCTTAATATGAGTGATCTTGGTCTGCCATCTGTTTCTTATGAGCCATATACGAAAATGCTGTGCTAATTCAATACTTTCAAAGGAATTTAATTTGGAATTTGGAAAAGCATTCTTTGCACAATTCATCCCTAGAATCGCTGTGTGTGAGGTTTTCATCTTGGCATGTTCTTTACGGTATCTCATCTCTGGTACCTTTTCATCTTCTTCATTGTGACCACGACATTTCCTTTTGAGGCAAGCTCATTGCCTGTGCCTGGTGTAGAAAATGAGCAGATCCTTTACATGACCAGTAAGGTGACAGATGGCCAATTTATATGTGAATGATTTGTAGAAGGAATGAACAACACCTTGTGGGACCATCTCCCATTGGAAATCCAAGATGAACTGTGCTGGCCTTTGCAGTGGGATCCTGTGTACTGGTTAGACAAGGTCTTCAACAAATTCATGGACTCATTCAATTTTAATGAGAACTAAACTTTTCCACATCTTATTTTGCTATGGCAAAATGCATTCAGTTGTTGAAGCTACTGCTGCGGAAGACCTTGATGTGCCATTTCACACCACAATTTTTTCAGCCAAACAGTGTTTTTTCAGTTTGAACTACCAGCAAAGCATTCAATTTTAACCAGTACACTGGACAACATGCATCTTAGAAATAAATAATTTGAAATAGTTCTATCTTATTAAGAGGTTATTTAACATATTTATGTACAAATATCTGGAAGCAAAGCATTTGCTGAGTCAATGTAACTATATTTCTTGGGAACTAGTATATTATAACAGTATATATTGAACCATTTGCCATGAAAAGTTAAAAAGCAAGTGCTCTTGTTGATGCATAACTAAGCTTTACATTTGCTGCAACTAAACATTGTTTTTCTTTTGCATCATTCCATTTTGCATCTCTGCGCATTTGGTATATTCATTAGAATTGGCCAATGATCATATTTATCACATCTGACACTTTCAGGAACATCAGCATCTTTCATTCTTTTCTTCGGTGTTGGCTGGGCTTCATCAGATGCGCTGTCTTGTAGGTTTCCCAACAGAAGAGTGTTGCAAATGGCAGTGAAGAAGTTCAAATGACTTTGTGTTCCTTCCATTTCCTTGTAGATGATCCTGGCATTGACAGCACACTGGTTGGTAAGGTGTTATGCCATTCTTTGGTGCCACTTTCTTGAGCTATATTTGGTGCGATACAAGGCCCAACATCATATCCGATTTATCAACCCCATCCATATAGTTATTGTGTAAATCGCAGAGGTTGGTCATGGAAAATTCACCCTTCGTTTTTGTCATATTTACAGACATTTGGAGGCTATTTGGTGTCTGGTGAGTTCTCACACCTGGCACTTTTGCATGCGAAAACGCTAATTCCCCATTCACAATGACCTGCAGTATTCTTCAAAAGTGTTGCATAAGCATAGTTAATTAGACAAGATGGCGGCCGTCCGAAATGGCAATTTTAGTCTTGACAAGGTCCAGGGCTCCAAAGGGACTTTTTCTTGTGCCTGGGGTTCTGAGTTTTGGATCTGATGGCCTACTATAGGTGTTTTTGAAAAGGTCAATTAAAGCTGTTTTTCGTTGACATTTTCTGTTTGCATTACGAATGACTTCATTGTTTAATGTCTGCAGAACAAGTAATAACAAATATACCACAAAGTTACCTACAATTAGAAAATCGGATAGGTTGTTTTAAACATCTATTTTATTCAGAAATTAATGATTTAAATTTTAAAATATTTTATTTTCTATTTGGATAAGGCAGTGTTGAGGCTAGAAGAAACTGAAATCGATATATAGTTATATACTATTATTAACTTTTGTTATTAAACCAGAATCTTATCTTTTGTTCGTTATTTCATAAAGTCTTGTAGAACTATGTTTCCCTGGGTTTGTGCATAAAACAGCAGGCAAATGAGACTTTGCCCATTCCTTTCGCAAATCTTCAAGGGGAAGTGAATGACAACCAAAATTCAAATTTATAAAATAAATTGGTAGGAAGTTTTTGGTCTGGGAAGCCTGCTGCCAAGAAGAAAAATATTTTATCAAGGGCTTGCTGCATACGGCAGCTTCATAAACAAGAAAGTGTGTGAATGTAAATCCCCAAATAATACAAAAACCTAATAAAAGAAAATAAAAACAATCCTTCTTGGTCCATGGAAAACTCTGAATGAGTTGACATCCTGCAACATAAAATCCTCAGCTCCAACCACAGGGGGTCCAACTAAGAGCTGTGTTATGAATGTGAATAAAACATTAATTACACGTAATATGAATAAAAACATCATAACGTAATAAATTTAAATTATTGCACTTATTTGTATAAATCATAAGAGCTTGCATTTACAACGAATAGCTTCAAACAGGATGCTTATATATGCTCAGAAACATTGATTAGAACGAACGATTGTTCAAATATGGCAAATAAATTGACAAAACGAAAATATTACATGACGTTCCAACGAAAATAACAGAAAGGATTGCGGGCGCGCGAGCGAAAAGGCGAGGGAAGAAATAAATAAATAAAAGGGATGAAACAAATATCACATGACTTTTTAAAATGCTTCTAGACTATCCGTTTAAGCTTTTTGTGGTATTTTTAGGGCTCAGTAGATGTTCTCTTACATGAACAAGCCTAGTCATTACCAAAAAAAGCACTGATCAATCTAATTTATGTGATTTATAACAGCGAGCATTCTTGGCCATTTTCGCGAGATGTGTTCCATAAGTAGCCTGGTCTTGTGACGTAATGACTAAATAATAATAAAACTAAATAATGTTTAAAAAAACCGTTGGTCGCTACATTTAAATATTTCATATTAGCCGGTACAGCTAAGCATTGTTTATTTTCATTAATTAAGCGCATAAGTGTTGTTGGAGTTGGCAGGAGGTGTTTTGGAATTTTCCAAGAGACCAGGCTACTTATGGAACACATCACATGATCGCATTACCGGTGTTTCATCCCTTCTAGTAATATCTATTACCCTCGCCTTCCGCTCGTGTCCGCAATCCTTTCTGTTATTTTTCGTTGGAATGTCATGTAATATTTTCGTTTTGTCAATTTATTTGCCATATTTGAACAATCGTTCTAATCAATGTTTCTGAGCATATTATATAAGCGTCCCGTTTGAAGCTATTCGTTGTAAATGCAAGCTCTTATGATTTATACAAGTAAGTGCAATAATTTAAATTTATTACGTTATGATGTTTTATTCATATTACGTTTAATTAATGTTTTATTCATATTCATAACACAGCTCTTAGTTGGACCTCCTGTGCTCCAAGTTCAATTATAACGGATGGTGTAGAACACAAAAACACAAAATCCATGTCATCTCCATTCAATAAATATTTTACCAGTATTGGAATAACTTTGGCAAATGGGATCAAACAAAAATGTACACAATCCCAGTCTTCCGGAAATCCACCATCCAGAGTCAATTCTACCTTCAGATTCCAAGAGTTTCAAGTTAGGTCTGGTCTCAAGAATTTATCAAACTTAAAAACGAACAAATCCACAAGTCTTGATCATATCACCCCGCTCGACTAATAAAAGATGCTGCTGCCACAGTCATCGCACTTGGCCACATGAACCTTAACTGACTTTGTCTCATGGGAGGGTAGGCTGAAGTATGTGAAATGCAAAGAACATGTAGAGGTTCACAATCATATACAAATACTGTAGAGCATAGCACGTTTTGTGATGCATTAAACTGTGAAATATGAAGTGGACATCAAAATACAAATGAAAGTGGAAAAGGACATGAAAGTGGAAAAGTAAAAAAAGTTATAAAACGTTTTCATCATTCTAATGAGTAATAGTGCGACACTTCATATCTCTGCATATTAAAGTGCACAGCTAGCTGAAATCTGAATATATAAAAGGTGTAGCAAAACAATATCATAACTGACATATAGCTAAATAAATATGGGAAAACAAGCAAATAGAGCTATTAATATTCTCATATCTTTGCCCAAGCAAAATAATATGCCCAAGCATATTACTACCTTAAAAAGTAAGCAGAAACTCGACATTTCGAGCGAAGGCCCTTTGTCTTTTGGCTACTAACTATTGACGAAGGCCTTCGCTCAAAACATCGAGTTTCTGCTTACTATTTAAAGTAGTAATATAACCACTCAGCACATCCAAGTTAATAGCCTTTATATGTTCAGTATGAGTATACATATTGGTCAGAAATAGATTTGGCTGACGCTTGTTTATAAAATTGCGAGTCGACAACATTTGGTACAAAACAACAGAGGTCATAGGATACAACAAAGCCTTGGAATTATTGACATGAATTAATACCTGTTTTACATAATTCCATTAGCAGACTATAAATTTTTGTTACCTTTGACTTTGTGTCATGGAATTTGGGTCATCTTGAATTTTGAAGAATAGGGAATTATAAACAAGCATTGGCCGATTGTCTATCTAACCGAACACAAAGACAGTTCCAGTTTTATTTCCTTTGTAATTGTAGTCCACTAATTGTAAAACATATTGCATTCTGAGTGTTTCTAGGCTTGAAATACAGAAGTGTGTAGATATGTCTTCTGCGAAGAACCAGCCACAAGGAACTGAATCGGTTTGCCAATGGCAATCGCCTGATTGATTGCCTTTATTTTGGAGTATCTTTGGCTTTTCCTTTATACAGTTATATCGCATCACAACCCGTTCAGAAAGCATTTACTGTGAACTGTCAACGATCATGTATATCCACACTGGGCGAGCTTGAAAAATATGCCCGGCCACGGTGGGAATCGAACCTATGACCTTTGGAATACTAGCCCAATGCTCTGCCAACTGAGCTACGCGATCAGGACGGTTCAAGCAAGCGATATTTCGGAACAGAATCCAGTTCCTTCAATACCAATGTAGACATGATTTTTTCTGTGTTGGTGTTGTGTACTCAGGTGAATAATATGATGTTTGTGATGTTACCCTGAGTGTATATCCACACCGGGCGAGCTTGAAAAATATGCCCGGCCAATGGTGGGAATCGAACCTACGACCTTTGGAATACTAGCCCATCTGGAATACTAGCCAATCTTTAGCAACAACAAATTTATTTCTAGAGTCATACTGTGTATCAGGCCATTTCATTGTTCTCACCAAAAGCTTTGCTTTGATACCAAAGCAAGGATTTGTGACAGAAACAATAGCATGACTTAAACCCATATAAGACTACCAATTATCTTGCTTTGATACTAGAAATTGTTAAAGATGTTGGATGGTCATTTTATTATAAAATACATCATTAAATTCACAGGCATTTATTCATACACTGGATGAAGACACAGTGAGAAAACTGGCAATTAGAAGCCTACGAAGAGGAATAAGGAGTATGGATTTAATATGTTGACACACTCCTTATTGCAGAAGACAACTTAGATGAGAATACCGGTGATCTGGAGAATGGAAAATAAGTGTTGCAACTAAAAAAATGCATGACATTGTTCCAAGATATGCCTGGATCTGGATGTGCTAGAACTGTGCCTAAGAAATACAAGCAAAATAGGGAAGATAACAGTACTAGGACATTTCGCAAAGCTGGGTACAGACAATTGACCTTATGCATATTGACGTCACAAAGCTCATTGTCTGTGAGGAATGCTGGTCTCCGTCTTAGTAGTCATCGCCCAGCAAAATTTCGATAGTGGACATTTTGAATTGTTTAATCTTCCCGGGCGATGACTACTAAGACCAGCATTCCTCGCAGGCATCAAGCCTTTTGATGTCATTATGCATAAGGTCTATTCATATTGACTCGGCATGGATATTTGGGCAAAGGGAATTGCCATGTTTGCCCCTCTTGTGTAGTCCTCAAAATAAGACTTGTAAACCTTGTCCATCTGTGACTGGAGTTTATATGGGTTACAGAGAATGATGATATTCATGAACCTTTGATAAACTTTCTGAAGCAAAGGGAATTTGATTTTAATAATTTATATTCTAATTTATGTTTGTATATAGTGAGTAATAAGGATTTTTTATAGAATAGACATTAGAAATTGCATAATTTTGTACAAAATTGGAATGTGCACTGTTGTGTCAGTTATTGTGAAAATCAGCTTTTATTTTTGGTATGTCCTTTGTTGCTGGTGGTGTGATATGTGTGCAACAGTGGGAGTAATGTGGCTTGGGTGGCTTGCATTTAAGGAAACATGGCGGGTTATATAGTCATCATGATGCAGTTGATCCGTCGGATATCCTTTGAAATAAGAACTGGAATGTACTCAAATCCTTTTTCAACTTTCACATTTTTCACATCCCACTACCTGGTCCTTCTGTTGTTGGAAAGGTTCATGAGTTTGTACAGGTGACTCAACATGAGAAAGGGTTTTGTCATATGACCTTTTTAATGGTGTAGATGTTTGGGGGTTCTAAAAGCAGAAAATATGAAATATTATACAACACTAACACTTGTGGTCAATGCACAGTATAAACCAATTCTTTGTATAATTTTTATACAATTTATCTTTATGCCTATATACCTTGCAAAATTGGGGATTATGCAAAGGCTGCTTGCAGCCTGCAGTATAAGCATAATTGTACGAAATAATAAGAGACGAGATATAACAATGTAAATGCCCTTTATTAACTTCACTCACAATAGCAATTTACAGAATATATTAACTTTAACTCAAAACGAGGTTGCCCCTGCTCATATCCCCGGCATCCCCTTGTCCACGTTGCCTTTTTTCGGGCGAACAATCCAAGACCATGGACCATCAATATAAATCCAAACTAAAAGAAAATAATAATAACAAACATAACAAACACCACATAACTAGGGGTAGAGGTGGGTGGGATTTACATTGTTATATCTCGTCTCTTATTATTTCGTACAATTATGCTTATACCGCAGGCTGCAAGCAGCCTTTGCATAATCCCCAATTGTACTTCATAATACTCGCCTCGATATAACAATGTAAGTTTAAAGCCTCATCCTACTGAAGCATTGTGTAATATCGAACGACCTACAGTAGCATTCCATACCGGACGATAATAGAATCGCTTGAAGGTACTATCCTTTGTCCAGTCTCCCAATTTGATTATTTCAGGAAGAGAAATACCAGCTCTAGCTGCTGCAGACGTCGATGCACCTCTTGTAGAGTGTGCTTTAAATACATTGTTGTCTATTCCTGCTTCTAGTAAGCAATCCTTTACCCAATGGGACAACGTTGAGGAGGTTATAGGTTTGTGAGGTTTATTTACTGATAAAAACAGTTTATTTGGTTCTTTGCTGGCACTCGGACGAAAATTTTTTGTTCGTTTCTCATACTCTTTGAGACATGCGACAGGACACAGCAACTCATTTGTGGGAAAATTTGCATGAAAAGAGATTTTCAGTGGTTTCCCTGTACGAACTCCTTTGGTAAGCTCCGGAAGGTTAAACGATACCCCTTCTGGATGGAATCGCCTGAACCTTAAATCATGAGCAATTAATTCTGAGCCTCTTTCTGCTGAAGTAAGTGCTAGCAGCACAACTAGTTTCTTACTCAATTGTTTTAATGTTAGTTTGTCATTCGCACTGCAACTTTCAAAATACTTTGTGACTGCATTCACATCCCAAGTATTAATATACCTAGGCATAGGAGGACGAGAATTAAAAATCCCTTTCAACAATTGAACTATTACCGGGTGCTCGCCTACATTCCAACCTTGGATCTGTGGATGTGTAGCAGATATAGCTGACCGATAAACATTGAGTGTACGGTATTCTAGCCCTAATTCAAACTGAATAGCTATAAAGTTCACTATGGCCTCTAAAGGTGCTGAAAGTGGATTGACTTGTTGTTCACTACACCAGCCAGTCCACTTCCGCCAGGCAGAAGAGTAAGTCTTCTCTGTTCGGGCTCTCCATGCAGCCAAGAGAAGTCCTTGAGCTGCCTGTGAAATTGACGCACTTTGGAAATTTCTCCTGAGACACGCCATGCGGCTAACTGCAGGTGAGCAAGAGGATGTAGTTTGTCTTCTTGTCTCAATAACCCTGGGAATGATGGTAGTAGCACTGGGGCTTCTATTATCATTCCCAGCAGTAGCGGATACCAGGACTGGGTCTCCCACACTGGTGTGACCATGGTTATTTGAGGAACTGACTGTTGTTGAATCTGCCTCAGACAACGCCCTATTAGGGCAAATGGAGGGAAAACATACCCTGCGAGTTGGCTCCAATCCAGTGTAAAGGCATCCACTGCCTCTGCCACTGGATCTGGTTTCCAACTCACAAATCTTGGCAATTGTGCTGTCAGTCTTGTTGCAAAAAGATCTACTGCAAATGGACCCCATTTGGAGTTGATTTTCTGAAACACAACTGGATCCAGTTGCCAATCGCTGGAATCTGGACCAGCTCGGGACTCGTAGTCGGCTACTGTGTTCAGTCTCCCTGGCAAATGGTGTGCCTCGACTGTGATTGAGCGTTCGAGACACCATTGCCAAAGGTCGAAGGCGAGGCTGGATAGGACTAACGATGTTGAGCCACCCATTTTGTTTATGTAACTTATGGCTGACGTGTTGTCCATGAGCAACAAAACATGGATATTGCATTTGCTCTTTAGAAATGATTTGAGAGCGAACCCCCCTGCAAGGAGTTCCAGACAATTTATGTGTAACAGGCGCTCTGTTTGGGACCAACGGCCCCTGGTTTGTGTTTGCCCACAACGAGCTCCCCAACCTGTTGTTGATGCATCTGTCTCGATAATCAACGTTGGAGGCTCTCTCAACAGAGCCTTTCCATTCCAAGCAGCGAGGTGATCTCGCCACCATTTCAGCTCCTCGAGGGCTGCCGCCGACCAAATCACTGGAGCCTTGTAACTTCCCCGTTTTGCCAAGCTTTGTTTTTTGACAGCTTGGAGGTAACAATAATGCAATGGTGCCGGGAAAACTGCTTGAATTGAGGCACTTAACTTGCCTAATAACCTGGCTAATTCTCTCACCGTTATTGTTTGGTGGTCTAGGACTTTCTGACATTCGCGTTTGATGTTTTTTACTTTGTCTTTGGGAAGACTGATTTGAAATGTTACCGAATTTATTTGAAAGCCCAGGAATTCGAGAGATTGAACTGGATTCAGTTGGGATTTCTGGTAGTTTACCACAAAACCCAACAACTCTAGGAGTGCTACTGTAAGTGTCACATGATGTGACAGTGTTTCGGCTGTTGATGCCATCAATAATATATCGTGTAGATAAATTATTAATCGAATGCCCTGTTTTCTTAACAAACCAACTATTGGTTTTAGGATTTTTGTGAAAACGCGTGGGGCACTGGCCAATCCGAAAGGCAGGCACATAAATTCCCATTGGGTATCTTTCCAAAGAAAGCGAAGGAATTTTTGGTGATCCTTCCAAATGGGAATTGTAAAATAGGCATCTTTTAGATCGATTTTTGCCATATAATCGTTTGGTTGCAGGAGGTCTCGCAGCATATGTATGCCCTCCATTTTGAAATGTTCGTACTGAACAAAGTGGTTCAATTGTTTGAGATTGAAAATTGGCCGGTGCCCCCCACCTTTCTTGGGGACCACAAACAGCGTGCTTAAAAAACCTGTGCTGTGTTGTTGTGGTGGAACATATTGTATTGCTTGTTTTTCTATCAATTCTTCCACCTCTTTGTTTATGACCTCTTGGTCCTCTACTGACACCATCATTGCCGGAATAGTTTTCTGGAATGGCAGATTTGAAAAACAAATTTGGTACCCCGACACAGCCTGGAGTACCCAGGGGTCGTTTGTCACTAATTCCCAATTTTTTACAAAATATTTTAAACGACCTGCTAGTGGCAACTGGTTTGAGCTTACATGACGCAGCCCGAACTTTTCCCACAATGCATTTATTTGGGGGAAATGTGTTAAGTTTGTTTCGTTTTTTAATATACCTGTTATTTGACCACTTTGAGCAATCACTGCTGGCTTTGTTGTGACTGGGATGTTTGGAATTGAGGGTTTGGAAATCTGCCTCTCCCCCGGCCACGGGTTCGAAAGGAGTACCTCCCTCTGGCTTGGTAATTCCATCTGCCCCGTTCCTGGCCCCCACGCCATGGGCGGTAACTGGAGGGGGCCCCTCTGCGAAAAAACTGATTTGCTGGTTTCTTTGCAGTTGCTGCTGAAATAATCCGAGCTGTTTCATTCCTTTGTTTAATCTTTTCTTCAAAGGATTCACCAAACAACATCTTGCCGGCATCTGGAAATGGCTCAGTGGCAAGTGAATTTAACTTTGGATTAAGTTTATCCAAAATTTGTTTTCTTCGCTGAACTGTTAACTGATTGTTAATACTTCCCAATAAACACAGGGCTTTTGTCAGGCATGCATAGAGGCCATTAATATTGTTCGAAGGTACAGTGATTGTCTCGGCACTGTCTTGGCTTGATTGCCATCCTGATACATGCTCAAAGACCATCGATAATGGCCCAACCACATCTAAAATTTGATCTTGGAGCCTTTTAGGCTCTTTGTCTACACCTTTCGCTCCAGCAATCAGTGAGCTCAAATAATTATCGAGAACTGGTGTGTATACTGCCTCGATATTTGGACGCGGGAATTCTTTAGTTATCTGCTTTCGTTCGTATGTAGAAAGCGTTTTGTCAATGAATAAAACATTAAGAAGACTAGAGAGTTCTTCTGAAGCTTCCCAGCATCCAGGACTATCTTCGTTTAGGTCACTAAATTCCGTGGATTCAGACAGGTTGGCCTTCTTTGCAGGAGGTTCAAATTCCTCCGCATTAATCTCTTGTACGTCCTCGTTCTCGTCTGAAACTTGTTCAGTTTGTTCATTTAAGCCTTGTGTTGACCCGGCGGCTAACCGGGAGTGCGACGGACGCTTTCGTAAGCCTTGTGTTGACCCGGCGGCTAACCGGGGAGTTTGTGCCAACATGTGTGCTCCTTCAGTACGAGGAGTTAACTTGCTGATTTCTTGAATCATACTCGGCAATATAGCCGAAAGTTGATCCTGTACAGCTTTCGAAATTTGTTCGATTGTATCACTGTTAAGATTACCTGGAGGTGTCTTCGGATTCGACTGGATTTCTGACATAACAACTTCATCGTCGCAGCTTCCAGTGACTGTCGCCATTGTGAGCAAAGAAAAAAGGCAACGTGGACAAGGGGATGCCGTGGATATGAGCAGGGGCAACCTCGTTTTGAGTTAAAGTTAATATATTCTGTAAATTGCTATTGTGAGTGAAGTTAATAAAGGGCATTTACATTGTTATATCGAGGCAAGTATTATGAAGTACAATCGTATTTTAAAACTATCAATATTACCCCCATTACAAAGCACATCCTATATAAAAGTGAATGTCATCTTGATACCTTGGCTGACGTTTGCCTGTTCTTCAACCATGTGAGACGCATTGTGTTCTACTTTTGTAGTCGAAGACTCAGATGCCGCCAGCGTCAATGTGCTTGAATTTCATTGCCGTTTTGGCAGTATTTTTGCAGACGCTGATTCCCCTTAAATACCCAAACAAAATAAATTACACATTGGTTTCGTTTACTATTCAAAATATGATGTTTGTGATGTTACTCTGAGTGTATATCCACACCGGGCGAGCTTGAAAAATATGCCCGGCCACGGTGGGAATTGAACCTACGACCTTTGGAATACTAGCCCAATGCTCTGCCAACTGAGCTACTCGAACCGTCCTGGCCACATTGGGCTAGTATTCCAAAGGTTGTAGGTTCTATTCCCACCATGGCCGGGCATATTTTTAAGCTTGCCCGGTGTGGATGTACACTCAGAGTAACATCACAAACATCATATTATTCAACTGAGTACACAACACCAATAGAGAAAAAAATCATATTCAAAATATATTGAAAATCGTATTGTAAACCTACCTGTGGCAAAATTCCAATGACAACAGATGTGCAGCAAAATCAGTGTCACTTGAATGCTCATAACCAGCCCTTATTTTGGCCTCTTGCCATGTATCAAATATCTTATCACTTAAATAGACCTTCTGTGCTCTTTCTCCCATAACTTTCTGTACTCTTTGTGGCTCTAAGACACTTTTTTTCAACCAGCATTTTTCCTTGAACCTCCGTGCATGGCACCCTGGTCAAACTCCATATTGAAATTCAACACACTTGAAAAAGTTGGGTGAACTTTTTCAAGTTAATCTATGCGCAGAACGGATGCGCAGCAGGTGACATTGCCGATTTAATGTGTGACATTAAGGGAAGGGTACAATTGAGAATATGGGTTAACAACATTTAATCAGTACTGTAGGGGTTAGGTTTAATGGATTACTGTACTATACGAGATCTTTTATATGTTTTAGAACAATATTTCACTGGTTTATCACTATGCTTCATCATTAATGCAGTTTTGCTGTGATAAATCTCTTTGAGCAGAAATCATTTGCTCTCCGTGACTACAATGTGGATAAAAGATCAATTATGGTATGTGACATGCTAGCCTGCGTGGCAGGCGGTATTTCTACAGGCAGCGAAAATTAGGGAGTCAAAGGAAATACCGTCTGCCACAAAACTAGGGGTTTTTGAATTACCCGTCCGCTGGTGAACAAAAAAAATGGATTGGTTAGTATTTTTATGTAGTTGTCAATCAACGGCTAAATTCGGTTAAATGTTAATCATTAACCAAATGTTTTGACGTTTTGAAACTCTGCGTTTTGAAATTAGTTCACGTCAAGTCAGACCAGAAATGGAATACCATAATAAAAGAAGCAAATTTAAAGATACAAGCTGAAAAATAACACTCTAAATTGTGTTTTTGATAGCGATTCGAACAAGAATAGTTAACAAAGAAGATACGTCCGAAGGGGTCGAAGTTATGATCGGCGAAAGGTATGGGCTAGTCTATATTTTCGTTCAGACAATTAATTACATGCGTATTAATTTGATAATATATGATCTCGCTTGACTTTCAAAGGCCATATTTAGCGGTTCAAATTTCAAATATGTCAAAAAAATTTATGAATATAACTGAAAGCCACGGTTATGATCTACAAGTACCCGAAGTTTCATGCATGTAGCATAAATAGAAGTATTTTATTGAATTTTTATATAAACTATGTAGTGGAGTAAAATTTACATTTTGTGCTCACATGAAACAAATACCTTTATCAAAGGTCCTTTTTCATTGCTGCAACATATTATCAATACAAATTTCCAATATTTCTTACTCTCCAAGGATAGTATGGCACCAAAATAAGTCTGTGATACCCACAAAAGAACACTCAAATCATGATTTGCAAAATATCTTTATTTCTACAGTTACTACATATATTCTTAGATAATCATTACACCATTGACTTTAGTTATTAGTGGCATAACCAGCCTGAAAATTTGGTCATCCTATTCAAATTTGAAATAAATACTACTCATTTGTTTAGAAATTGATTGTTTTCACAATCTAGAACATGAAAATATTTGCATATAGCATGACCAAGTGTTGTTGGGCTGGCATCATCATTAGTAGTTTTAAAAAGTAATGTTTTCCACGGCAGTAATGTTTGCCAAAGCAGTAATGTTTGCCAAAGCACATAATTGGATTATGTGGTGAAAAATATTTCCTTTTATATTGTACCACAAAAGACTGTAACCAAACTTATATCAGATCACCACGTCATACCCAAATCCGTTGCGATGAATATCTGGACTTCTTCCTGTATAAATTTCAAAGTCGCAATATAACCATTAGGATCAACTGTCTGCAGCAACCCACAGATTTATCCCCCACATAGTAGGCCATCTTTCATGAACTGCCTAATCCCCAACCTATTTCTTGATTTGACAGTGTGTTTGTCAACAACAATATTCTGTGATGGCTGGTACAGTTGTTGATGATGTTCATTGCTGTAGCCTTTAGTGACAGGATCTACCATATTCACAAACGCCATAAGCACTTTGTACCTAACCCGAGAAATTATTTCTATTGCCCACAGACCATGATATAAGGTTTTTACACTCCAACAATTTTCAATCTCACTGCCGACCTTTACCAAATCTGCATATACTAAAAGGCAATCAACCTCTCAAGGTTGGTGGACTGCAAGACCCTTCTTTATTAGTATATGGGGATAACTTTCGAGTTATTTGTATGTGGGCATATGTATTGGTATGGCCAGGAAACTACCTGCTGAAGCATTCCCTTAGTAAAAAAGAGCCAAATGAACTCAAGCTCACAGTTCATACTTCAGGTGAAAGCTTGATCGAAATGGATCCCGGACATGTCAATGAGGGGGCAAAATCTGGGAGAATAGTCGTAGTGGCAGGATCATCATATCCGTTATGTACTATGGGACCTAGTGGGGGTTGGGAGTGGGGTTCTCATGACTCATCAGAACTGCTACTTCCCTGAGGCTATAAAACAGGAACAGCAGATAGGAACAGGATCAGTATATATTCATCAGTGCAAATAAAAACTTTTTTACAGACATAATTTACATGGTGCCACTTAAAATTATAATAAGAGCCAAACTAGTAAGATATAAGTATGAATACTTGGCTATTATGTATGTAACAAACAACCAAACATGTGCTCAAGGCTCATTTTACTTTGCCTAGGAATCAGAGATTTTTATGCCTAAAACACCATAAATTTTCGTCAACAATATAAATAAATACCATTTATATTTGTCAATTTCAGTATGAAAGGATTATTTCAACACAAAAAAGCGATATGAGGACACACTTGGTCGTACTAGTGAAGCTATACTAAATACAAATAAATTTACAATGCCATGGCAATGGCAAAACATTGAAATAGAAATTGTCTGGAAATGATAAAAATACTTGCCTTGAAACTCCAGACACTACTCCCAATGCCAGGTTGAGATACTTGTCTTCATACGAAGATATTCCATCATTACTAGCACTATCAGTTTGCAAAATAAAGCCAAAAACGTCTTCAGATTGTCGTGCACGATAATCAGGAAAATTGCTCTAAAAGGTTTGTTTTTCTGCCTAAGCCAATCATTGTTTTTCTGCCTAAGATACAAGCATTTGAATCAGGTGGAACATTCAAAATGCAACAGCAAAATTGATAATGCATCATTTGCATAAATTTCACCACATTGATGACTTCAAGGTAAGAAATTCGCTTGAAATTGAGCGAGAAACAATAAAATTATATCAATATTTCGGAGTATATAGTATCGATCAAGCGGAATTTTTTGGTGGTACTTTCGTATTTCTACTGCAAATACTCGCGGAGTTCTTTAATATTTAATCTTCCTGTCATATACGTCGGAAATTAATATTGGCGGATTGAGTTAATGTCCAAATTCGGTAGCATACCTGTATTTCTGGATGTGTCTAAATTCACTATTTTCCTATAAATTCCATAATGCTATGCGCTGGGGTACCGAAACAATCAAAATGGTACCTTATTTTTTACCTTAGCGGTTATCAAGCCCTGATGAAACTATATAGGCGCATAGTATAATGGAAATGAGTGAAAATAGTAAATAACTACATTCTCCAGCTGGGAGAGAAGACAATTTTTTATACATTTCTCATTCAGTTTTCGTCCAAATTGCAACAAAATGTGATCGTTTTATCCTTGGCCTATTATTAAATTTGCCCTAAAAACTTTCAAAAAATAGACACAAACGCTGGTGAAAACATATTTTCCTGGCAGAGGTATAATAAGAATACTGAGGAAATAACAAAGATAGAGAAATGTACTGACTTCAAGTATGAGTTATCAGAGATGTGGAAAGGGGAAGTGACCAAGGTATTTATCCTGTCAGTCATCATAGGTGCCTTCGGAACGATGACCAAGAATGTACAAGATAACCTGGAAAATCGGTTTGTTGGGAACATCATGAATCCAGAGTAAGATCTTCAACTCATAACCTGATATTGATATGCTGCAGGAGATGTAGATGTCATGTGTATTTAATTTATCTACTCTAGGTATTTGCTATGGATTTAAGATAATGCGAGATCACGAATCACCAAATATTCCCTTTACAATTCTAAGAACACGCTTTCCCAAAGGTATGGTGATATTTGTTAATTAATATGACATTACATTTTGTCTTTGTTTCTGTAAAAATTTGAACTTTATGTTGGGGATTTATTCCACGAAAACGCTCATACACGAAAACAAGGCCGTTTTTAAAATTGAGCTAAATTATAATTTAGCATAATTAAATATCCAAGATGGCAGCACGCTCTGGGCGAAGTAAATCAACGTTGAGTTCTTTTGTGAAGAAAGGAATCGATAATGTTAAACAAAAGTACCCAAGAGATTTAGGCATTGGGTCTCCAAAGTATGTGGAAACTCTCAAGATGTTCGAAAGCCTTTCAAGGATTGCAGATGGCTTGTGTGGCAGAGTAGAATCAAATGACGAGTTTACAAAATTACAGCATTGTGTTGTTGAGATTCATCCTTTCGCAGTCCATGAGATTTCTATCTGGCACCCACAAATTATTGAAGACTAAGATGAACAGCATTTGCTAAGACAAGTTGTACGATTGTGTTGGTAAGGGATGTACCGTGCAAGGTTTTTGAACATATTGTGGAGGTTTGTACTGCAAATACCAGCTATGCAACTACAGTGGTTCAGACTGACAAAGATATCAGCATCGAACTTACTGACATTCGCAAGGTCATGTATATATTTAAGTATTGTGGTATCATTGGTAATTTAAAAAAGGACTTTAGGAACTTAGGAACAGCAGAAGTCATTACATCGGAGGAAAAAGCATTTCAGTTATTTTATAAAAAGAGAAATGAACAACTGAAAGTTGCATGTCATTGTGGATTTTGGAACTCTCATGGCATACCTCAGTTGTAAATATTACAAAAGTTGTAAATATTACAAAAATTTTGGCATTGTGTTTCAGTTCAGTGGGATTTATAGCTTATTTTTGTTCGGGGTTACAGGGGTGGCATGCCTCTTGAAAGGGACCACTCTAATGTTTTGCTAATTTATGGGTTATGATTATTATGGAAGGAGTCAGTGCCGGATTAACCATATGCCACAGGCCCTGGGCTTACTCTTTTCAAATTTTTTATTCCCTGTTTTTGTGCAGGGCCCACACGATCATAATGTTCAGCAGATAGATACTTTTTGGTTATTATTTGCTTTAAAATCTAAGTATTGCAATGTATATTTTATATGCAATATATGTAACTGTCAGCCTGTCACACATATAGAGGATATTACATGGCGGCGCGAAGATATGACTTTTATCTTCGAGTGGTGAAAACAATGAAAGATGAAAGTCGTATCTTCAAGCCACCGTGTAATGTACTGTTTATTATATAGTCCCAAGCGAAAAATTGTATAAATACTAATATTATACCTCAAATTCAAATTGTCCAATGAAAAAACAGTATTTGTACCACGTGGTAGTGTGATTTTTTACGGTATTTCACTCAAATTCATGATTTCGCAATCCAGCATTGGGATACTATAATATCCCACGGCAGATCCACCGGATATTATAGTATCCCACGCTCACCGGACGCGTGGACACCACGCTCTGAATTCTGAAACAATATGGCGTTCGTGAGCTCGTACAGAACTACAGAGGATTTTAATATTAAGTAAACCAAATATTTCAACACGTATGTTACTTTCAACGATCCAAAGGATACTTGCTCAAATATTTTAAGGAGAAAACGTCAAAAACTCAGGTATAGATAAGAAATTAAAAATTGTATTCGCGTAGTTAATAATATTCAGCAAGTTTTAAAGTTTATTCTGAACTTGATAGACTCTTAGTGAGTTCTTTAACTTTCGGTATAATATATCATTTATAGACCCTCCGCTCGGGGGATTCGGCAATATTTCCCTCAGTGATGATATTTTCCTCGGGGCAAAGCCCCTCGGAAAATATCATCACTTCGGGAAATATTACGCCGATTCCCCCTCGCTCCGGGTCTATAAATGATAAAAAGTCACATGATCGATATCTTCACTAGTAAAGATATGGAAAATATGTTACTGTGTATTTCTCAGTATCTCACACTCTACTATATAATAAATTATGTTATTATCGCTGATTATATAAGGCAGTTCTCGAGTTAAACTGTGTTGAATTTTAGTCCAAACTATTGATGTATATTTCTTTGTTTTTGTGAATACACAGGCATTTTCAATTTGATAACTCCAAGGTTTAAAATGGCCATCCTGCCCTCCAAAGGTGTCACCCATTACTGCATTTTCTGAAATTTTCAAAGGATGAAAAATATGTTGCCTAATTTGGGAGTTCCCCAGAAATAAATGCCAGCCACCTCATGTCTGCTGGAATTAATTCGAATGAAAACGTGACATTTTCCCCTTCAATAAAGTAGGATTTTTTTTCAATACTCTCAATATCTTTTCTAATATCTTTGGCATACTGAACCATTGATGGGTGCTCTTCAGAGCAATTTGCACCACATATCAAGTGATTTTCGCTGTGGCTGGCAATCCTATCCCCTACATTTAAAAACGAGATAAGCCAAGCAGTGGCTTAGTTATGTGTTTCCCAAAAGGGGCTCTGCTCCCATCACAAGCTGGAATGAACCCTTAGAAAGTGAAAACCAATGCAAGAACCTGGAGCAGATTTTGTCAATACATAAGTAGAGGCTGGCTAACTTAATTAAGAATGGTTCAAGTTCTTTATAGCAACCTGACACAGCATCATGTAAGTCACTGTTCTCATCATCGAATCCAGATTTGTATTGCACTTTCTCAGAGTTGGATTTCTTGGCTCTGGGAATGTCTTTAATTTGCCCAAACATCGCCAGAAATCGCATTTTAATTAGCTATCTCGCCCCAGGCCATTAGTCATCTCAATATTTCAAAATATATTAGAAATTACTGTTTGTCTTTGAACGAATTTATCTCAAACATATTAAAAGAAAAAACAAATGTGCGATGCTGGGACAAAAATATATATTATAAAGATGGCTATTAGACGGTAATTTCAATAATTATCTTAAATCTTATGTTTCCTTTTACAGTTCGAATTTACACACTACAGGCCTGACATTTTGTATTGCATTAATTGATTATGTTGGTAAATCACTACAAACCACAACTTTTGAAGAAGTGTTAAAGCTTAGGCAATCATAGTATCAAAAATGTGCGATATAGAAAACAAAATATAGACATAAATGAAGTCAAAATATATATTTTCTTACCCCTGGCTAAAATTCTGATGTTTCCTTTTCTTTAACCAAAACTTGGCCTTAAATACATCCTCATTAAACAATATAAACAGCTCCGCCAACGAGCGCTTTCCAAACAAGGATTTTTTGGCCAATAAAGGGCCAAAAAGTTCAAGAAATACATCGTTGTAAAGCCCATTTATCCTATATTTTGTTTATGATTGTGAATTTACTTCGATTGTTTCGTTCAGCGGTAATATTGTTGTTTAAAATGATATACTTCATACAGTATTGATAAATATTGCCTTAATCTTGCACAAGAAAGCGCGAAACTTATTAAGATGTTTGAACTTTGAATTGAATATTAATATTCTAAAATATTAAAATATCATGTCGGATTCTTTATCATGGCAAGAGAGATTAAAAGCCAATTATAAAATCCATCTTCAAGGGGAAACTTCCTGTTTAAGATATGTAAATGATCAAAGGTCTGGTCATTGTGTTGTACTCAAAATATCTCGAAAAGTTTTGCTAAAATGGCGGGATTTAAAACTGACTATGTCAGGTATTTCATACGAACACCTTCTGGCTCTTAGTGCCTTTGACTTACCCATTTGTATTAAACAAGGAAATGAAAGAATCGAAGAGGCTTTACGGACAATGGCATCGGAAACATTCCAGCAAAGTAGAGGAATACGAGGTAATAAAAGAATGAAATTTCTTCAGAACACCAAATCATTTTATGTATTTACAAGTGAATTATTAAATCCAAGTAGTCTAAAGTATCTGTTAGAAAAGTCTGAGAAAGAAAAAAACAACCTTAAAATGATGGCCGATAAATCCTCTGGTAATTATGGATGTATCAGAAAGCCATTGCTAAACATTCCCATTGCAAATGTTAGAATAGACAAGCTTCATTTGCTTCTCCGTATCACAGGTTGGTACCTTGTTAATCTGATTAAGATTAACCCATTGAGTTGCATTGCACCCTGATGCGCCCTACTTTATTATTTTACTCTGTCTAATGCCATACGATTTTACTTGTCAAGGGGAGAGCGCTGGCGCTTAATGGGTTAACTGGCCTATCTGCCCATGTGTCTAGTTAAGTAATATATCTCTGCCTATGTAATTTACTTGACATGAAAACCAGTTATTTATAAACTGTTATCCCATCTCTGCCAACAGATGTCTTGGAGAGGAATGTTATCAACTATGCAATTGGAAAGGATTTGCAAGAAAACCTAAATAGGGCTCCTTCTTCTAGAAAGAATGAACACCTGCAAAATGTCATTGATGCAGTGAATAATTGCGGTGTTAGCTTCAGTGTGTGGCAAAAGAAGGATAAAAATGGAGGGAATAGTGGCGTTTATGATCGGACAAGCATGGTCGGTAATGAAAAGAAGACTGCTCTGCACAAACTACTTTCTCAGTTTCCACAGATCATTGGAGCACCACATTGTGAAACTTTCATTAAAATATGGAAGGTGAAATAAACATTTCATCTTGATCATTATTATTCTTTGTTAGTAGTGTACAGTGGAAGATTTATAGGGGGTGCACAGGGGTGTGCACCCCTGTTGGACTTGACCAAGGGGGGCAAGGGGAGTGCAAAATATTCTATTTATGATACAATTCAAATGGTTGAGATATTCGAATTTTTTTACTAGTCTTAGACCAGTTTATTTTGATCTAATTTTAAGACCGCACTTGTTCAAAATATGCAATAATTCTGACTGTTTGCACATGGTAACTAAAACCTACCAGGCACACATAATGTGTAAACATTGGTGCAGCGGCAAGCTGCTGGCCCGTGCAGGGTTTGGTGTACTCTCTTGCTTGACTGCCTGCCCATCACCCCCCTAAAAAAGTTGGCTGGATCCACCGATGGTAGCGGAGCCAGCCCAACGATTTAGTCTTGCTGTGCAAATGCATTCATTTCTTTAGAAATTGATTGCTTTTATAGTCTGTGAACACGGCAAAATTTGCATAGCAGAACTAAATCGTCGGGTCGGCAGTGCTACTGTTCTTTGTCATATTTATGAATCTATTTGAATACTTTCAATGAAATTTTTTAGGAGTTTTATGAGCTGTACCAAATACTATCAGCATGGCAACCTTCACAAGACGAAATTGAGGGATTTTTTGAAAATGCAAGAAATGCATCCAGTGTGTTTTTCAATAATATATTTTTGCACTAATAAGTTAAAACTGATATCATCTTTTCTGCAACACTTATTAGGCAAAGAATTGGTTGAAGCTATTTCTTTCACTTGGTGGGCATGTAATGGGATTTGAGAAAGCAAGAGTTACACCATACATGCATATTCTGTTATATCACGTACCCATGTTCCTAAAGCAAGATAAATCCATAAAGATTTTTACAGGTCAAGGAATTGAAAAGATCAATGATGTTGTTCGGTCAGTCTATCATATTAAAAGTAACCGGCATGATGCATGTAAAGAAGCAGTGCAAGCACTAAAGAGAATTGACAACTTGCAGGACTTTGAAAGGAAACCTTGTGCATATAACAAGAAAGATGACTATTGGTCAAATGAAGAAGGAAAAGAAGGAAAAGGCCGCGCTTATGTGTTGACCCAAGGGAAGACCAGGTTCAACTAATTCCAGATCATGTTGATACAATGAGTTTACAAGAAGTGAAGGAAAAACTGAAAGAGCTACAAATCAAAACAAGAGTTCGAAAACTTGAAAATTTGAAGCAGCTCTTGAAAAAGGCAATTTTGGAAAATTCAAGCACTTTACCATGAATTAGACTAATGGCAAAAGTAAACTATTTGTTCGCACCATTGTATATCTTGTTATGTATAACCAAAAGCTTTGTAATTTTACTCTTATATTTAGACTGTTCCCAACAATAGCATTTCACAAAGTTTCAACATTACATGCTCGTTTGCAAAAATTAATCTTAACCCTTATAATAGGAAGTCTCTTTGCCTGCTTCAACTGTCCATCCTCAAAAATGAAACGTTTTGGAGTCCAAGATAATATAGATTTCATTTTAATAGGAAAATTTAAGGCTTTTCCTTCTCCGTGATGGTCGAGGTAATACCACCATGTCTCTGGTAAATCCAAATTGCAGAAATCATGTAAATTATACAATTTGTAGCCTTTATGCTCTGATGCAATTCCTTTTCCTTGCCACATCCACCTTTGAACATCCAAATCAATATTAGCATCTGTCGATAGAACTGACTTAGATTTCAGGCATTTTGAAATTGCTTCAAAGAAATTCCTGCTGCTCTGCTCTATTCTTTTTTGTTCGATCTGGTTTTGGAGGATGATCATAGCTCCTGTAAAAACATAAATTTGCAGTTGACTTTACACAAAACGCACTTTGGAGACAGATAGAAAGGGTAAGAAACTGTGCATGTTCCTGAGTAAAAAGTTCGACAAAAAGCCTTTAGCCGTTATCGGTCTTTAGACAGGACGAATTACAACAATTTAAAGAAATAGTGTATAAAGTGCCTTTAATACCTTAAAAGTGTTGGAGTTAAATGATCAAAGGGCTCCCAGTTGCATGTTTCAAGTGGCCATCCAGTCCATTTCACCAAATATTCCCAACTCTAAATTATAAACGAAGCAAGGGTTTAATTATTATAAAATTACAATTCAATAAATTCATTTATATATTTCAGATGTAATCCAAAATGAGTGACAAAATCAATAACTGCATTAAACTTCCAAAAATTAACTTACATGCGCAACCTTTCTCCGAGAAATTATTCTTTCCACAGAAAAGAACTTTCCTTTGGGTTTCCTTCCAGTTTTAAAAATAATTTCAGAAGATAAATTGTTTAATTCGTTATAATTTAATACTGGAACACTCTTTCGACGAGACGCCATTTTGAATTTTCGAAGAGTGAATAAAAGGTATAGCGGAGGATAATAAGGGACAACAATGCAAACCGATATCCCCCAGTTCAATGTCCGCGATTTCTGGCGATGATATACAGATTCGACAAACTGCATTACCCGTTTGTAATCCATCAACTTGGGTGCATGAAGGTTGTCTGGTGCTTCTTACCATGCTTGTCAACTTCAAAGATTTCTTGACTGTGCTTTCAGTTATATTGTTTCTTACTACTTATACCTCCTTCATATAAAACACCAGCTGATCAGACCAGGTTAGTCTGACTGTGCTCATATTTTCTAACCACATTGTTCACAATTGAGGGAATTATTTCTGTCATAACCTTTGGTGACTTTTCCATGTATGCCTTTATGTCATGCACATTAGCGGAATTGACTAAAGTGCTCCACATACCATCTAGTGCACACTTTTTTCTATGGTTTGCATCTTCTGCAGGTCTAGAATTCATTTCCTCCGCATGTTCCAACATCAATTTTCTCCGTTTCCGACCAACACTATCAGATAAGTTGAGTTTCTCACTGTTGGATGAGCATGAAGTGGAAGGATTCCTTATGTTAGCATTGTAAGGGAGCTTTATCTTTTCATCTTTTAATAACCCTCTCTAAAGTGATTAATAAAATGTATATCTAAAAATACTGTACATGTGATTCTATGAATAGGCAGTTGTTATTATTACTATAAAATTTATATTGCGCATAAATCAATGGAAGTACATTTTCAAATGATCATTACAAGAATTAAAAGAACAACATTATATACATATTCTAAAAATACTAATCTATAATATATATCAACGTAATCTATGATCTAAACTTCAAGCAAAAGCTTTCTCAAATAAAAATGTCTTCAAAGACTTTTTAAAAATGTCAATGATGTAATATCCAAGCTTTATTAACTATAAGTTGTTTTTCAAATACAATAATATCAAGCTCGCCATGCACTGTTCGCCATGCTGTCTAGCTTATGTCCTCGCAAAGCATTGTTGTCTATATACGGTATGTGACGTTAACGTCATCATCACACTCCTCCCTACCTTCACATTTAATACTTTCTAACTTCAGAACATGCAAAACTATAACTCAAAATTTGTTTTAATAGTACCTGGACCCTATTTACCAGTTAATAAGTTAATGACTGAGAATTGCCGAGTCCGGATCATGATAAAAGTTTGTTTGTTGTCTATCCCTTGCAGGGTACCTTCTTTCATCCTCTTCGTTTTCTTGATCCTGTTCGTTTCTTACCATCTCATCCTCTTCTTCATCTGACGGTTGATCATCAAGATGGTCATCTTTTGTTTGCTGTTTAATTTCTTCCAGGCTGATGGACTTTGGAGTAGTGTGCTGTGCAATGAAGGTGATGTACTCTTCTGCTAACTCGCCTTGACAATGTTTTGCACTTGTGTTCAGGGGGTGTCGAGACATATAATCTGAGGGATTGTCCTTCCCGGGGCTATATTGGACTCGAAAACGGTATTTGTGAAGACGTAGGAATCATCGCTCGATCCGTGCAGGAGGTTTGGACTTAGGGTTATTGCAGATCAACTCTAATGGTTTATGATCTGTATACAGGACAAATTCTGTTCCATATCTATAAATATGAAATCTTTCCATTGTCCAAACAATGGCGAGGGCTTCATGTTCGGTTTGACTGTATCTTTGTTCGACGGGACTGAGTGCTCGACTTGCATAGGCAATCACTTTGTAGTCTTCGTTTCCTGGGGTATGCTGCTGTAATATAGCACCCAAACCAGTTGGACAGGCATCGACTATGAGTTCTGTGCATTTGGTAGTATCAAAGTATGCCATAACACTGGAGCTGAAGTCAGAGCTTTTGTTAGTGTTTTCCAGGCATTTTCATGGACTGGTAGCCACTGGAACTTCGCATTTTTCTTTGTGAGTTGTTGAAGGGGCGTTGTAATGCTTGCATAGTTTGCAATAAACTTTGAACAGTAATTTGTCATACCCAGCAGGCTGCGGACTCCACTCACATTGGTTGGATGGGGAGCATTGACGATAGCTTCTATTTTCTTTGGGTCCGGGCTGACGCCATCTGCAGAGAAAATCATACCAAAGAACTCCAATGTACCCTTGTTATAAGCACATTTCGATTTGTTGAGGGTGAGGCAGACTTGTCGCAATCGTTCAAATACAGTTTTAAGGGCTGTGTCATGATCAAGCTGTGTTTTACCGAATATGAGTACATCTTCACTGATGTTGACAACTCCGTCAATGCCAGCAATGGCTTGGCTTATAGCATACTGGAAAACTTCTGAGGCTGCTGATGTGCCATAGTTAAGTCGTACATAGCGGTGCAGTCCTTTATGGGTACGAAAGGTCGTAATGTAACGAGACTCAGGAGCTAAGAGAATTTGGTGATATCTGTGGCAAAGATCGAGTTTTGAGAAGACTTTTGCGCCATTTAGCTTGTGGATAAGTTCGTCAGCAGTAGGCATGGGATGGCGCTCACGGATTATCGCTGTATTGGGCATACGCATGTCAACACATATTCTTGTTTCTTCTGGGTTCTTCGGTTTTGGTACTACAAATAGGGGCGAGGCCCAAGGAGTTGGGCCAGAGCAGGGCTCAATGATACCTTGCTTTGTTAACTTGTCCAGTTCGTGAGTTACTTTCTCCCGGATGTGAAATGGTATACGCCTTTCTGGTTGCGCAACTGGCTTGATGTTAGGGTCTATGTATAGCCATGTTAGGGTCTATGTTTTTCAGGCACCCAATTCCTCTGAATAAGTCCTCGTACTCATTTGTCAGACTTTGAATGAATTCAGTGGCTTCTGCCTCAGGTGTGAATTCGTTTGGCACTTTCACAGTTGTGTTTACTTTTGTAGTTGTTTTGCAGTTTCTGAGCAAAGCAAGTTGCCATTGTCCCCTTTTGCGACGTGAAATTTGGCGGTTGTCATCTTTGTCTTCGACTCGATGATTTCTTCGAATACTCCCAGCATAGGAAGCAGCGATTGTGCAGCATACGCATATATTCGTGCTTTTGAACGATGTAATTTAATAGGTCTTTGTTTACATAAGTGTTGAAATGTCGGCTCGTCTATAATGTTGATAGACGCCCCGGTGTCGATGAGTGCTCGAAAATCGTTCGATTGATCTTTAATTTGGAAGTCAAATTGTCCTTGGACGCAACTACTGAGCTTGTGTTCACCATGTAGATGTATTCATCTTCCGAGGATGAGTTGCTTTCATCGTCAGTGTGCTGTCTATTAACAGTGTTAATTGACGAGTTGTTGAATTGGCGTGATGAGCGAGGCTGTCGAGGAAATTTATTTTGATCTCGATTTTGACTACTTTTGCAAACCTTTGCAAAATGATTCATCTTATGCTATAAGCTGGGCAGCTATTGTTCTTGTGGGGATAATCTAACCAGCAATAA